GGGAGACCAGGGGGTGCAGAACTTAGAGCATGGGCTTCCCAGACAGGGCAGCCCACCAGTTGGACCCATGGGCGGTGGGAGGGGGGACAGAGAGATGCCCTCACTGGATGCCCCACCTTTTGTGTGTGTTGTGGTTGTGACACAGGGTTGCCTCTTTTGCCCAGGCTGGAGTTGCAGTGGCTTCCATCTGATAGCTCTTGCAGCCTCGACACCTTGGGCTCAGCGATCTCCTGCTTTCAGCCTCCAAGTACTGAGGATGCCAGGGCGGGCACCACCACACCCTGCTAATTATAGATTTTTTTTTTTTGTGGTAAAACAGCGGTTCCTCACATATGCTGCCCAGGCGTTGGTTCTCGGATCCTGGCCTCAAATGATGCCTCCTGCCTTTCGACTCCCCAACCTCTGGGGACATTACAGGGGTGAGCCACACAGGGAGCGTGGACTGCTGTGTGTTCTCTTTCTTTACACACCCGTCAGCGACACCCTGATGAAGCCAGTCCGGGGGCGCCAAAGGCAACATCCTTCCCACAACAGAAGGGGTGCAGGACGATGAGCATTTATTAGCACCATACTGGGCGTACGGGAGGCACAGGCTAGTGCTTTGGGTGTCATGCGACTGGTACTGAATCCCCACCAATGGTCGTGAGGAAGCCTCTTTCTTTTTTCTTTTTTGATCATCAGTTGCCTCAACAGAATAAGAACTATTATTGTCGCTTCTCACTTAAAACAGTCTGAGTGTGGGTGTCTCCGGGGCTGCGGTGGCGGGGGCCAGGCCCTTTCTTTTCTCGCGGCGCCAGCCACCACGCTACACGCGGGTGGAGCACCCTTCGCACCTCTTGGCCAGTGGGGGGATGGGACAAAGTGAGCTCAGCCCTGAGTCACTTCCGGAAGATTCCCACGGCCACGCTGCTCGCGCGCCATTGAGCTCAGAGTGTGGTCACATGACACCAGCTTCAGGACATGCTGGGAAAATGTAGTCTTTCTCCTAAGACATCTGCACTCCCAGCCTGAGATAACGGGGATGTTCTATTGATGTAAAAGGACAAGGAACATGGCCGGGCGCGGTGGCTCACGCCTTAATCCTGCAGCACTCTGGGAGGCCGAGGCGGGAGAGGATTTGTTTGAGCTCAGGGAGTTCAGACCAGCCTGAGCAAGAGCAAGACCCGTCTTGCCTAGAAATTATCGGCCAACTAAAAATATATATAAAAAATTACGCGGCATGGTGGCTGGCTCATTCATGTAGTCCAGCGACTCGGGGAGTGCTGAGGGCAGGAGGATCGCTTGAGCCCAGGAGTTGGGAGGTTGCTGTGAGCAAGGCTGAAGCCATGGCACTCACTCTAGCCTGGGCAACACAGTGAGACTCTGTCTCAAAAAAACAAAAAAGAAAAAAGAAAAGACGAGGAAC